CGCGCCTGTTTCCAGGAGTCGGCCATGGAGCCGGACCTGGGCCGGCAGCGCGACCATCTGAGCAACGTGATCGCCAGTGGAACGCCAACCGGCTGGATCTGTTCGAGCTGTCCGAGCCCAACGAGCAGCTCGAGTTCCCATGGAGTGATGAGGGTACCGTACCGCACCACCTCACGACACCGTCGACCTGCCCTTCCTTGCCGTGCCCGCCCGGAATCGCATCGCCGTCGCAGCCGCCCCAGCTCTATCTTTACCCCGCCGTCACGAACCGGCGGCCCGTTGTGTGGAGCTGCCGCTGGGCCAGCCCTGATCCCACCAGGCAGGGCCGTGGCTGCGACGGCCGCCGCCGGAGGCCGCCGTGCCCCGCCGGACCGCTGTCTGCGGCCGGCACGTGTCACGCTGTGCGGCCCGGCCGCCGCTGAGAACGGCAGCCCGCAGCGCTCCCACGGCCGCCCGGGTATGCGCCGCCGCCCTCCGCAGGATTGCGGTGCTCCGACCCGGCGCTGCACCGCGCTGACCGTGGCAGCTGGTGCATGCAGGCGTTACCAGGTCTGAGCGATCGAAGTGGGTTCCCTTGACCTGCGGACACAGGAAAGCGTGTCGTGATGGCGCCCGGGCCCAAGGGGGAGGGGGGGTAGCGGTCCCCAATTACCGTGATATTTAAAATTAAGATGGTGCGGTGTTGCAGGGGTCCATGTGATGAGGACAAACACACACACACACACACACACACACACACAACACACACACACACACACAACACACCACCACACACACACCACGCACGCACGCACGCACGCACGCACGCAACGCACGCACGCAACGCACGCACGCACGCACGCACGCACGCACGCACGCACGCACACGCCACGCACGCACTGCGTCTCTTCGTCATCACGCGGTAGCTCTATTCTACTCCAGAACTAAAAAGTATCTGGTACATACACTGTGACTCAACGCTGGTGGACCGTCAAAACGTAACAGTCCGCTCTAAATGCTGTTTTTCACAAGGTTTTTCACTTCCTGTTTAAGTCCCGCTGTACTATGTCGATATTGTATGGTGCTTCAGCGAGACAAACGTGACAGGTAAGGTTGCGTTGATGCAAAAAAGTTATTTTCATGGTGGTTTTGGTCTTTGACTTGTCTGTTTTCGGGATGGAAGTACAAAAAAAGCATTTCGCGATCAAAATCGACACACCAATTTTGGCGGGTCATGTGGTCCCGCACTTGGCAGACATGTTATGGTCCGTAAAATGCTGAGGCCAAAAAAACGTTAGTATTAGCACGGTTCGTAGTCGAGATGTGGAGAGAGACCTGCTGCTGACCCGACGGTAAGTGGCTCTTGGCGACTGGCTTTGTGCGGTAGCACGAAATGACTGCCCGCAAATATGTCCCAGTCACGTAAGGAATGCAATATTTCACCCGCAAGCCGGCAATGTTTGAAAATTGGAACGTAATATGTCAGAAGATATTGCTGGCAGCTCCATGACTCGGGATTGGGTCACCGGCAACTTAGAAAGTTTCATTTCTGCTTGTGTTATCTTTCTCCTGCATCTTTCTTATCACGTGACAAGCAAATAAACATGAAGTGGTGTGAAAGGGAACGACGTAAGCTGTCCCTTTGGAACTGTAATTTTCCTGAACCTTGCTTGTTGCATGTCACAAGCTTTCAAGCTTGTGAAACAGGCTGTTGTGTCTAAACAGGATTTTTCGTCTAAACGTGGTTTGGCCTTTCTCTTAAGGCAAGGCTAGGCGGAGAGCGGAGAGCCCGGTGGCAGCAGCCCAATCGGTGGCCCTCTGCGGCGTTAATGGAACATGCAGATGAGCGATAGCCTGTCGCGTTTCATGCAAAGAACATGAAAAAACATGTCCCCTTCCTTCCCATCCCCCACAGGGCACGCCGTCATGGGGGGTGCCGGTAGTGCATGGGTAACACGGACTCGGGTGGGGGGCAATTTGACCCTCCGAAGGTTTTCCAAAATAAATTCGAACTGCGCAGCTTAGCCGCACCGAGCTTTTCTTACCTGCAGCGAATTGAATATTGATTCATTTACTAAACCAATAGATTTGCCTTGTAAGGTCGCTGACTTATAGCACTCAAAGTCAGTTCATGGCTTGTCAGCGAAGGCAATCCCTGGAACACTCATTTAATCTGATGCAAGAGCAGGGTGCTAGATGAACCCGTACATCTTGAGACGATCTCTTGACAGCTGGACAATCGAATTCAGGATTTCTACTAATTGCATCAGCTTTGGGTCAAGTATGAAGATCAAGTTGAAGTCAAAACCAAGTTGAGACAGTAATAAAAGCCTTATTCCTCAGAGAAAACCAGGAAAATGGAAATATAGATGGGGTTATTTTTCCGCAACATGCCTTTATCAAAACCATAGCAGCAGTCTATTGCTATTATTTCGATAAAGGCATGCTGCCGAAATATGAGCCTTTCTTTATTTCCATGCCTCTGGTTTTTCTTCGAGGAATAAGGCTATTACTACTGTCTTATCTATGTGAATAATGCTCCTTGCAAATGCGCTGAACAACTTACGTAATTCAGAACCAAGTTGCTGTCTTATCGGAAACTTTGCTTTGTGGGGTAGTATTTGACGTTCATCTCGAAGTTATTTAACACAGGTAGGTTAACAAAGTTGTTTTTTGAATGTCATAAAGATCAGAAGAGGTCAGTGACCTAGAATGGCCCAGTCAAGGTATTGCTACTGGGACATACCACATGGCGTAATCGACGCTTATCTAATGTGAAAAATAAAACCAATTTCAGGTTTTTGGTTCCCGTTACCTTCTGAAGGTCAAATAAGGTAGCTGACCTGAAGTGAACACCAGTGACCTGTTTCCTCCTAGTAGAGGTATTCAGGTTAAACGTGGTTGCATAGTGAGGTCTGGAAGAACTTCGGACACTGATCTGGAGTTTAACTTGCTTGACACTAGTCGCCCGGAGGGTCATGACCTAACAACCTCCAAATTGGACAAACGTGAGTTACACATGCCTACATTTCCTCAAAATATAGTGTATTCAGCTCTTTTATTTTTGAAATATCAGGGATGACATTGCCCTTCCTCCCCCTCCCCCCCCCCCACCCCCACCCCCACCCCCTGCCCACCTGAGCGGCGTTGTATTCATCCAGTCACCTGAGCGCGTGTTTAGCTGCGCGCCTGCGAAGCCAGAGGTACGGGGTCCGCGGTACTCTCGTCGTCCCCGGCAGGGTGAGAGGCGGGTGGCGCCATACGGCCTTAGCTGCTAAGGGCGTTGTAAAGCCCTACCGACAATGTTGGTACCCCGTCACTGTCTCAGGCATTTCGGACGTCGTCGCCGTATCACAGTATCGTTTTATGTTTCATGTCGGGTTTGGAAGTAGAACCCGACTTCGCTAGATGGATACGGATCCGAGGCACAATCTGTCAGGGCTCGTCCCGGCTCACTGGTGGTCGTAACTCTTAGTAGTTGTAATATGGCTCGGTACCTATATCAAGCCACTGCCCTCTCGTAATGTATTGAGTAAAAACCCACGCATGTTACTATGCGTGAGGGTCCGTGTTCAAAGCGAGAGGCAGGCTACAGCCGTCAACTTGGTAGACCTGTGCGTGCCGTTAGTCGTCATGCCCGTACGGGACTTGCCACTGGGTAACTCTCCCGTCACGGCAATGACACGCCGTCGTGGCTACGCCGTCTAGCTCACCCCATTGTTCGGAAGCCGGCGGAATCCGACCTGTGACAAGTGGCCGGCGCACAGATGGGGCGCCAGCGCGTGTCCGCGCCAGCGGTGGGTGGGGGATCTGAACCTGTGACAGTGGCCGTGCACAGATGTGGGGCCCCAGCGCGTGTCGCGCCAGCGGTGGATGGGATCTGACCTGTGACAGTGCCGCGCACAGATGCGCGCCGGCGTGTGTCCGCGTCCAGCGGGGCGCCAGCGGTGAGCGGGATCTGACCTGTGGACAGTGCCACACACTAATGGCGCGACACTGTGTGTCGCGTCCAGCGGGCCGGTGGGATCTGACCTGTGACACGTGTCGTGCACAGATAGGGGCGCCAGCGGCCGGTGGATCTGACCTGTGACAGTGCCGTGCACAGATGGGGGCGCCAGCGGCCCGTGGGATCTGACCTGTGACGGTGGCACGTGCACAGATGGGGGCGCCAGCGGCCGGTGTGATCTGACCTGTGACAGGTCGTGCACAGATGGGGCGCCAGCGGCCGGTGTGATCTGACCTGTGACAGTGCCGTGCACAGATGGGGCGCCAGCGGCCCGTGGGATCTGACCTGTGACAGTGCCCGCTCACAGATGGGGCGCCAGCGATCGGCTGACCGGACGGCCGCCGCCGCAGGTTTTACTACCAGGACTCGGGCCAGAAGGTATGCACCAAGTGCATCCGCGTGTCGTCGACGGCCACGGCCGGCGACGTCATCGTGGCGCTGGCCGAGAAGTTTCGTCCGGACATGCGCATGCTCTCCACGCCTCGGTTCGCCGTCTACGAGATCCACGAGAGTGGCGGTGGGTGGTGACGGTCGGGCGCCGCCCCCGCCGGCGGTCGGGTGCGCTTGGTTTGGGGTCGGCTCGCGCGGCTCGGCACCGGCTGACCTCAGGAAGGTCATTGCTGATGAGAAGTGAATGGGTTTAGGGCTCCTGGCGACTGCGGTGAACCTCGGTACCTCCTGTTTGAGAGGGAGTTGTCAGCCTCTAACGGGCGGCGTTGGTCAAAGGATGTGGCCTGGTAAAGACAGATTACACCACGCTCCACACACTGTAACGTGCCACCCGTCGTTTTATCGCGCTGACTGTTTTGCCTCACCTGGCCCCTACTGTAGCGTGCAGCTCCTGAACGCATATGTGGAGACAACGTGGCCAACATGTTGTTCCAGAGGAGCGTGAGCTGGCAGTGGGACGAGAGGCCCCTTTACGTGCAGCTGAACTGGAACAAGGACGACCGTGAGGGACGCTTCCTCCTCAGAAACCTGGACGAAAAAACCTTGGGTGAGACCGCATTGCGGTATGGACACGCTGTGCTTGACGGGGTACGACCCTACAGTGGTCCCTTTGTCTAGACCAACCTGTGGCATGCTTGTACAGAAGGTGGTGAAATATTGTGGTGGTACCATGCTATTTTGAAAGTTAATCGCAGTTGGAAACAAATTATGGCGGGATGAACAACTTGCAAGAAAGTTCGAATGCTCGGCGCTCGGCGCATTTAAGCAAGTACGGATGTTTGCTTTGAAATTCTTCCACGACGGCGTGTTAGGGGAGGCCTGACGCCGGTGATAAAGCCTAAATGACAACGCTGAGTGTCCTCTTTAGCTGTCCCGCAACCGATATTAGTTGTCCTGCTTCACCCAAGATCCAACTGCAGTATTTGACACGAAAGTTTGAACGTTTACCTACACAGGAACATGCCCGGATTTTCACACACGTTTAGTGGTAACGTATTTGCCATCCGCTGTCGCCACAGTCGCTGAAACCTGCGAAGAGATGCTGCGCCGGAGATGACAACTTTAAAAGGAAACTTAGCAGACGCGAGAAGAAACTACTCAAGAAGCAGGACAAATTGCGGAGAATGCAGAGCAACAACGAAAACGACCCGAGTGTGGCGGAGAAACTCTACTCCGGTGAGGTGGAAGGGTATCAGTCATTACTGACAGCTACACATCCTTTTAAAAGAGCGGCTTGATGGAACTGTTTGGCTTTGCTTAGATATGTTCCTGTGCAATTTCATCACCATTGGTTTCGATGTGGGCAGGTCAGCTAGGTTTGTGAAAGAAACGACCATTTCAAGCGAATGAGTGAAAAAAGAGAGAGATAGAGAGAGAGAGAGAGAGAGAGAGAGAGAGAGAGAGGGGGGGGATGAGGAGAGAGAGAGGAGAGAGAGAGAGAGAGAAAGAATGAGATAGGGAGATCGATAGAGAGAGAGAGAGAGAAGAGAGAGAGTAGAGAAGAGAGGAGAGAAGACGAGAGAGAGAGAGAGAGTAGAGAGAGAGATGAAGAGAGAGAAGAGAGAGATAGAGCGAGAGATCACGAGAGAGATCGAGTAGATGTATATATATATATATATATAATATCTATATATATATGTATTTATATAAGTTTGTATGTGTGTATGTATACAGCGGCGCAAATGGACACGCTGTTGCATGTCATTGTATGGTTGGCACGGATTGCGCGGCGCGCTGCCCCTGGCTCCCACCGGCCGCTCACCAGCGCCGGCGGCGAGCCGCAGGCTGTACTGGGCCGCCCGCGCCGCACCGTTCAGCGCCGCGCCCCGGCGGCCGTCCCCGCCGAGGTGCAGGGGCCTGCTCCCTCGGCGCCGCACCTGACCGAGTGTCCGGCTGGCCAGAGCTGCCGGAGACGAGCTTCACGCGCTCCATCAGCAACCCGGAGGCGGTGATGCGACGCCGCCGCCAGCAGAAGCTGGAGAAGAAGCTGCACCAGTTCCGTAGCCGCGACGGCGGACCCGACACGGGCGGCACGTTGAAGGTGGGAGGCCGGCGCCGAACCGCGGCAGACGGAGCGCCGACCGGCGTATGTCTCAAGGTGGCCCGAGAGCGGGGTCCGGCAGGGGCACAGAGGGATGCAGGGGCTCGAGCTGGCGGCGATACGTCGTGTTGGTCCGCAGATTGCGGTCCGTCACGTCCCTGTGTCTGGTGTTGTCGTGTCAGGTGTCTCTCATGGGTGTCACGTGATTAACGCAGTCGGCGTGCCGTGAAACCGAAATCATCACCGGGTGTCTTTCCATCGAGTAGTGCTGCGCCTGGTGTCGCTGTGTCAGGTGTCTGCGTAGTTGCCACAGCGTCAGGCGTCGTGGTCTTGCGTCTGTTGTGGCTGTGTGGTGTCAGGTGTCGCCGCGTCAAATATCGCGGACACATGCAGCAGCGGACGCATGCACACGTGCGTTGTCGCTACGTCGGCCGTCGCTGCGTCGGGTGTCGTTGTGCCATGTGACGCCGCGTCCGGTGTCACGGTGTCAGTTGTCGCTGCGGCGGCCGTCGCTGCATCGGGTCTCGTTATATCATGCGACGTTGCGTCCGGTGTCACGGTGTCAGTTGTCGCTACGGCCGGCTGTCGCTGCGTCGTGTCTGGTTACGCCATGTGACGCCGCGTTCGGTTGTCACGGTGTCAGTTGTCGCTACGGTGGCCGTCGCTGCGTCGTGTCTGGTTACGCCATGTGACGCTGCGTCCGGTGTCACGGCAGCAGTTGTCGCCGTGTCAGGCCCCGGTTTCAGGAGGCGAGCACTGTGCTGGGTTGACCCGTGCGCCGTTGCGCCGCCAGATATACGGCGAGAGCCTGTGCAGTGAGGTCCCGTACAAGACGCTGCTGCTCTCCGTCACGGACGCGGCCGCCGCCGTCGTGGCCGAGATGCTCGAGAAGTATGGCAAGCATGGCGAAGATCCGGCCCAGTACGCCCTGGTGCAGGTGGGTTCCTGCTGTCGTCCGTTGGCCGCTACCGGGCCCGGACGCTCGGCGAAGTGTGCCCTGCCGCTGCCGCCGGCGCTTGCCTCGGACTGACGCTGCTCTGCTGCCATGCTGCCGGCTCATCACACTGGCTGCGCGGCGGTTACCGCTGTTGTTGTTGTGTTGTTGTTGGATCTGCGCGTGCATTCAGTGTTACCTGCTGCCCAAGAGCGGCTCTACTGCCCGGATAGGCTGTGCGTGCGTGCGTGTATGCGTGCGTGCGTGTGTGCGTGCGCGCACGTGTGTGTGCGTGCGTGCGTGCGTGCGTGCGTGCGTGCGTGCGTGTGTGTGTATGTGTGTGTGTGTGTCCTTTGTTTTGAATAGTTGTCATTCCCATTATAACAGTGTCGGCTGTAAATCGGCGTCGTAGTCTTTTTCTGTAATTTACTGGCTGCTGTGTTGTGTTACAGGCCTTCCGTGGGCGTTTAATCTCGGGCGTGGCTTTTTGTTTCCTTCTCGCCATTTGTTTGGCGTGATTCATTTCCGGCGCTGCGTCCCTGGATCGTCCCCGTGGGTGTCTGGGTTCTGGCGGTCGTCTGGTACGGTCACGGGCGTGGCGTCTGAGGTGTTCTGGCCGCGCCTCGTTCCCAGTCACCTGTACATACCCGCTGTCGACCCACCCGCCTGACTCACTCGTCTGACACTGCGGCGCGGCAATGGAGGGACTGTAGTAGTATTGGCCAGTGAAGCGCTGGACTGGAACCTATGTGGTTCTGGCGTTCAAGTCTGCGCGGGGCAGGGGCACTTGCAACCGCCCAGCAGTTGCAGTGCCAGTGGTTGTTCTCTTTGTTATTGTTATTCCATCCACCAAAGCAGAACCCTGGTTTGGTGCCCAAGGCGGGTTTGGACTTACTGCTACCTGACATTCATGCTGTCCCGCTTCATCTGCAGCCCTGCTGCATGCGTCTTGTGTCACTCGAAGAGTTGCAACGTGGACGGTCATCTTCGCGTTCTGCAGTGTCGCCGCTCGCGGCTGCGCCGCCCGAGAGTTTTGTAGCGTGGCTGACCGCTGGCCTGTTGTGCGGGCCCAGGTGGTGACCCAGGAGCCGCAGCCGGAGACGGCCGAGTACCGCAGGCCGACCGGTCCCTTCAAGGAGTACGTGCTGGACGACGACGAGTGCCCGCTGGCTATCCTGATGAACCACCCGCCGATGAGAGGTGAGGCGAGGGCACGGCCGGCGTCCGCTCCCTCTCGCTGGAGCCCGCTGCTCGGTCCGCAGCACGCTGTCCGCCACTCCATGTGCGGCCCATCACTCACAGCCGTTCTTCAGCCTGCCGCACGTTGCCAACTGCGTGAGACCATTCTGGAACCTCCCCCCCCCCCCCCCCCCCTCCCACACACAAACAGTGACGGTCAGGGCGCGGTGTGTTAGCTCCGCGCGTCCGAAGAGATAGCTTTTTCTTGTCTTGGAGTGGGACGCAACGCGTCCTGAGTACAAGCGTCCGCTTTAGTTGTCTTCGTCGCGCCATTTTCGTAGCAGTCTTGATCTGCTAGCTTTTGTGTTAGTTGTCTTCGGAAAGTAAGCAAAGTAAATGCAAAGGAGAGATTTAGCCACGGAATTCTAGCATGAGGAATGTAATGATACTTGATGAACTCTCGAGCTACTCATTTAGAAACCAGTGTAATTTTCAATAAGAAGAAAATTAATCCCTTGAATAGACAGCCCTTTTGATCGTCTCGCCCGCCCTGCCCTGAAACAGCTTGAACATGGTAGCTCTCAGTTTCAAGGGCAAAGTAACGTCACAAGATACAATGTGAATCACCTGTCACACACGCTTGATTGTCCACGCAGGTATTACAATAGCACATACATCGCCGTTAGGGGAATTAAGGTAGGCACATTCTGTAGACATGTCATTACGATCGGTGGTCTCCAAGCGTCGCATTTAGGTAACGATCACTACAGGGCCGTTTATTTCGCATCAATGATTACAGTTTTCCCTCGATAGGTTGATACGTTCTGTCGTCCTCTGTTGGGTCGCAACTGCGAAGGTTTCTATTCACGCTAATCTATGAAGCGAATTGAAGTTTTAACCAAAACATTAAAGAAAACACTCCCGCGCTACGGGCTCGCACGCACACAGACACACTGGCACGAACCTGTGCTTACGTACCACAATACGTGTACACTTACGAGGTATCAAAAGACAAAAGGTATTGCCTTTTTTGCAGTACATCAGGCCTTGAGTAACTGATATGTGATAAGTAACGGCACAAATACATAACGACTAAGGGCACAAACAGGAGTAATATTACGTAGGTGAGCCAACTCATATATAGGCGTCTAAACATATCGGAGGTCGTACTTTTAAGCCAGCTGCAGGTTTAACAAACATGCGTGCAAGGTATGATCTACAAGCACGTCAGTTCCTTCAAAAGCTGAGAGGCATGCAAAAAATCCAATATTTCATCAACATGATCACAATAGTCACAGCCAATGAAGGACTTTACACTGAGGTGCTGCTCCATATTCATGGCGGACTTCGACAGTGTGTTGTCGCTGACGCGCCAGCACGACATTCCACCAACGCACGCACCATATACGTACATATGCAGATGTCTTATGCAAGGCTTGGATCTCTCTCCATAATGTTCGAATAGGTATAGGTTGTGTGTCCTAGTTGTAGACGGCGAAGGACGATTTCTTCAGGTCGATTGGTCCCCATGAATGAGTCCCATTTCCCTACGTTTTCCTTAGCTGGTTTCAGTGCATGATGTGGCCTCTATCCGCGCCGAGTTTTGCCGACAAAATACGGATGGTGGAATGCAAGGTCGTTAAATGCCCCCTGTGCCCCATTTGGCTTTTATGCATTTGATATGCCAGGACAGTGGCTAGTGCCTGCACATCCGCTGTTTCATTTCCAGTTGTGCCGCATTTGCATGAAATACAGACGATTATTATCCTGAATCCCATTTCTGGTAGACGATGTGAGGCCTCAAATATCCATCAGCACTGAGTGGTTCGATGTATATTTTTCAGCGCGGTAACCATGGATAGAGAATCCGTGCATGCCACACATTCCAGGATCCTGTTGCTTTCCGCGTAATCCAGCGTCTACGAGATGGACCCGGCCTCATAAATCATCATACCTTTACATCGAATGCTTCTCTCTCCGTGCATATAAGCACAGCCAACCCACTCAGCTGTTTTTAAGCGTCCGTAAATATGTATTTAAAGTCAGTGGTATTCGTTCTTAGTCCGCGGAAACCATTTTGCATTTAGAATGCATTCAGAGTATCTTGTGCTCATTTTATTTCACATTTACGTTGCTTCCAAGGTGATTTAGAACTTTCCTTAGCCGCCACGTCATGTTGGAAATCGAAGTTAAGTTCGTTGCATATATTCGTCGTCCTTGCATCCAAAGGAAACCCGTAGATTCTTTTCATGCAATCCCTTTCCACTTGATGCATAGCGGAAGTTTCGGTGCTCAGTCTCTGGCACAGATGGTTGTCGTAGCTTCGTGTCATCATGCAGTATCGTATTGTTAAATCATGTTGTCACAGTCGAAGGGAAGGAACCTGCGCCACATCCCCGACCTGCTGGATACTTTAGGATTGGCATTTGCTTTAAAGCCTCGCATTGGTGCATTCGACATGTTTTTTTCAGCTTGAGTCTGAAATCCAATGTGACCCAGCTCCGAAGAAACGTAGCATGTTCACAGAAAGCCTGGTTGGTTATGACTGTTAACCTCGGGTATTTTAATTATTTCTCGCTCTTTCATAAACCGTCGAAAGAGAATGGCTTTGCACTTCGGAGGCGAGGATATAAACCCTTATTCGTCTGCCCAGCCACAAACACGACCCGGTGCCATCAGTATTTCCTCGATTAATGGTATGATCCTGGTCTCTTGTACCCACATCGAGCAATCATCGGCATACAGCGCCTAGGATATATTCAGGAGCATGATATAAATGACACTGAAAGTGTCATTTATGACACAAATGACACTGAAAGTGTCATTTATAGTGACATTGAACTGAATAGGGAATATCGCTGCACTTTGCACCACTCTATTGTATTGTTCCTTCTGGTGGCAAAGAGGTGTCAAAGGTGCAAAGGGGTAAAGAGCCCACCGTGTGTCACTTGAAAGGCTCTACCGTCTAGATACGATACTTGGGAATTCATAAGGTATCATTTGAAGCTAAATCGCTGCATCTTCGCTGAGAGCGCCACCTTCGATGTCAGGTTATATGCGCTTTTGAAATCAAGAAAGACCTGTGTTGACTTGACCTGACCTGACATGACCGCTAGGGCGTATTTATGATGGGAAGAACTCCTCTGACCTCAGGATAGTCGAATAAGATGATCAGAGATGCAGATGATAATATTATATCGTACTATTTTGCTATATTGTACCACGAAAACCTTTTGAATGCCATTCTTTCATTAATGTGCTGAGCAATGTCAACTGAATCGGTCTATATAATTCAGGTTTGTCGTCCGGCTGCCTAGGTTTCGAAGTTGGAATTACGATGGAGTGTTTACACGGGGAAACTTTCCGAACGCCAAATGTAATTGAACGTGTCCAGAACTTGCTCTTATTGATTCCCATTCGTCTGTTTGAAGACTGCATAATGAATCTCATCTGGGCCCACCAAGGTGTTTCCATACAACGTAAATGACTACTGAAGTTCGTCCACATTGAAAGCAGTGTTGTTTGCTTCATTATTGTCGGGAGTAAAGTTCGGCATTTGGTAAACCATTTCATGTACACGATACTGAAGTATGATGAGGAGTAATGTTTTCCTAAAGCATATCAGCCTTCAAAAGGTCATCAATGTCACCACCGACTGAGACAGGGTGGTCTGCCCTCACCCCCCCCCCCCCCTCCACGTACACGTCGCTGACCACTCCCAGATCTGCCACACCTCTGCGCATTGTTGCATAGCAGTGGCCCGCCTGTTCCCCCCCTCCCCCCCCCCCATGTCACACATGCACATTGAGCGGAGCGTCATGGACGTCTTCCAATGCCGCCCGGATCCCGCAAGATTGTGTTGTTTAGACCGCAATCGTTAAATGCGTCGGAAGACTGCTGGCATGATGCCGCCCACTCATGCAATGACATTGGGGGCTGGCTTCACTTCATGGTTGTGACATCTTGTATCGCTAATCGGCATACGTCGAACATTTGAATGGAGCATAGGTGCGATTTTCTGTTCGATTCCTTGTGCAGCGACACTCTCGAAATTCCCTCTATTTCAGCCGATTAGATGGCTTATAATTGGTTATATTAGCTGTTAAGTGTATTGGCAAGGAGCCTTATGTTTACAGAGCATAATTATGATATGATGTGATACATATTATAAAATATAATATTAGGCTTACAATTGGAACTCTCCTTTGCAAATTGACAAACGTCTAGTCATTTTTTTCAGGTTAAGTAGAGGTGGTCACAACGGGTGCACCTAACAGTGAATAACCAGATGCGGTTGCATTACATTTATGCTACATACGCGCCGGTAATGTCAAATGGGTATGATTGCTTTGTCAAAATTGTTTGAGTACTGTACAAACGTGATCTGGCATATGCTAACAGCATGTCGATGATTTTTGACATGTTGGAACTAATGAAGTGCTCAAGCTAACTTATGTTTGGTTTTGCGTTCAGTTTTGCGGGTGAATAAGCATGTGCAACTGCGACGAAACAATACTGCAAAAGTTACGCTCCAAGTGTCAAGCTTCAGCACCTCTTAGCACCACGTTGTTTACGCCACATTATAGGCTGAAGTGTTCCACTGTGTGAAGTTGACTGTGCATTCCATGCTATTTTAAATAACAACCATCTATTTTTGGCCTTAATCCAGTGTATGAACTTCTTCTAAATCAACTGTTGGCTACCATGGATAGCGAATGATGATCAGACTTTACTATAAGCCTCCAACATGCAACGGGATTCCTGCACATTGCTTTATTCCGTCTATATGTAACATGTGCAGTCTTTTGAAATGACTATATCTCTGATTGTACCTCCGTCAGGCGAACTTACATTATTTTATTACATTGATTTACTTACAGCATTCTGTGAATCCCATGTGAAGTCTCTTGAAATCGGTATATCTTTTATTGTAATTGGTTGTTGTTGGGCGAAATTACATCATCCTATGAATGTCGCTGAGTGGCATCACGGCTCTCTTGCATGGCTCCATGTTTTGCGTG